GGACAGTCCTGGGATCCCCCTCCCCAGTGCCACCCCTGCCCTGTCCCACTCCCCAGTGCCACCCCAGCCTGGGGACAGCCCCGATGTCCCCCTGACCCCCCCGTCCCCCTTCCCAGGTCGCTGTGAAAATCATCGACAAGACGCAGCTCAACTCCTCCAGCCTGCAGAAGGTGAGGGGCCGGGGGGGTCCTTGGGTGGGGGGGCAGCTGATTTTGGGGGGGCCACAAGGGGAGGGCTGTGGCCTCTGACCCCTCCCCAAACGTGTCCCCCCTGCCCGTCCCCCGCAGCTCTTCCGGGAAGTGCGGATCATGAAGGTCCTGAACCACCCCAACATAGGTGAGACCCCCCCCAAACCCCCCTCAGCCACACCCTGGCACTGCCGGGCCCCCCACCCCTCCCTGGGGGTGTCCCCCTCCCTCGGGGGGGTCCCGGGGGTGTCCCCCCCCCCATCCAGCCCCTCTGTGTCCCCTTTGCAGTGAAGCTCTTCGAGGTGATCGAGACGGAGAAGACCCTTTACCTGGTCATGGAATACGCCAGCGGGGGTGAGGGGGGGTCTGGGGGGTCACGGGGGGCTGGGGGGGCTCTGGGGGGGGGGGCTGAGCTGCCCCTCACCCCCCCTCTGTGCCCCCCTCCCCAGGTGAGGTGTTCGACTACCTGGTGGCCCACGGGCGCATGAAGGAGAAGGAGGCCCGGGCCAAGTTCCGACAGGTCTGGGGGGGGGGGGTTGGTGCCGTTTGACCCCCCCAAAGGGGGTTTGGGGACCCCCTCGGTGTCCCCAGGGGGGCTGGGGGTGCCCCCCTGACCCCCCCTGTCCTGCAGATAGTGTCTGCCGTGCAGTACTGCCACCAGAAGTTCATCGTGCACAGAGACCTGAAGGTGAGGAGCCCCCCCGACCTTGGGCCCCTTGGCACCCCCAGGACCCCCCCAGCAGCACCCTAAGGTGCTCCCCGGGACCCCCACCTGCCCCTTGGGCCCCTTGGCAGCTTCAGGACCCCCCCAGCAGCACCCAGACACCCCTGGGACCCCCTGGCAGGGTGTAAGGACCCCCCGGGGCAGCACCCAGATACCCCTGGGACCCCCGAATCCACACCTGGACACCCCTGGGACCCCCAAATCCACACCTGGACACCCCCAGGACCCCCCAGGGCAGCACCCAGATACTCCTGAACCCCCTGGCAGGGTGTAAAGATCCCCAGGGCAACACCCAGATGCTCCTGGGGCCCCCAAATCCACACCTGGACAGTTCTTAGACCCCCAGGGCAGCACCCAGATACTCCTGGGACCCCCAAATTCACCCCGAGACCCCCCAGGGCAGCACTCAGATACTCCTGAACCCCCTGGCAGGGTGTAAAGATCCCCAGGGCAGCACCCAGATGCTCCTGGGGCCCCCAAATCCACCCCTGAACCCCCCCAGGGCAGCACTCAGATACTCCTGAACCCCCCGGGAGCTCCCAGGACCCCCCAGCCCCACACACGGACCCCCCGGGACCCCCGAGCCGTGCCCAGAGCAACCCCCCAGCCCCCCCTGACGCCCCATGGGGGGGTCTGTCCCCCCGTCCTCCCCTCCCCAGGCCGAGAACCTGCTGCTGGACGCCGACATGAACATCAAAATCGCCGACTTCGGGTTCAGCAACGAGTTCACGTTCGGGAACAAGCTGGACACGTTCTGCGGGTCCCCCCCCTACGCTGCCCCCGAGCTCTTCCAGGGCAAGAAGTACGACGGGCCCGAGGTGGACGTGTGGAGCCTGGGGGTCATCCTCTACACCCTGGTCAGCGGCTCCCTGCCCTTCGACGGCCAGAACCTCAAGGTGGGTTTGGGGTGGGCGGCTTTGGGGTCCCACGCCTGGGGTTTGGGGGGTTTTGGGGCGCCCCTGGATGGTTTTGGGGCTCTCACAGGGGTTTTCAGGTAGTTTTGGGCTCTCACAGAGGTTTTCAGGTGGATTTGGGGCTCTCACGGAGATTTTCAGGGGGTTTGGGGCTCTCACAGAAGTTTTCAGGGGGTTTTAGGGCTCTCACAGAGGTTTTCAGGTGGGTTTGGGGTGCCCCTGGATGGTTTTGGGGCTCTCACAGGGGTTTTCAGGTAGTTTTGGGCTCTCACAGGGGTTTTCAGGTGGGTTTGGGGTGCCCCTGGATGTTTCTGGGCTCTCACAGAGGTTTTCGGGTGGTTTTGGGGCACCCCTGGATGGTTTGGGGCTCTCACAGCGGTTTTCAGGTGATTTTGGGGTCCCTGGGGGTGGTTTTATGGTGCCAACAGGGTGCTGGGGGATGGTTTTGGGTGCTGAGGGTGGTTTTGGAGCGCTGAGAGGGGTTTTGGTGTTCCCCAGGTATTTCTGGGGTGCTGAGGGTTGGTTTTGGGGTGCTCTGATGTTTCTGGGGTGCCGAGGGGTGGTTTTGGAGTTCCCCTGGTGGTTTTGGGGCGCTGAGGGGTGTTTTTGGGATGCTCTGATGTTTCTGGGGTGCTGAGAGGTGTTTTTGGGGTTCCCCTGGTGGTTTTGGGGTCCCCAGGAGCTGCGGGAGCGGGTCCTGCGGGGGAAGTACCGGATCCCCTTCTACATGTCCACGGACTGTGAGAACCTACTCAAGAAGTTCCTCATCCTCAACCCCACCAAGAGGGGCACCCTGGAGGTGAGGGGGGGCACCCTGGGCACCTCTGGGAACCCCCACAGTGGCCCTGGACA